CCCATTTTGAGATTATATTCGACTGTATTTCACCAAACATTAGGCGGCATCCGAAGCTGGAAATTGACGCGAAAATTTTGAAACCCTTATGTATATTTACATCATTATATATTTCTTACCCCACCCCCACATGATCCTATATCCATCACCAATCGTTTACACATCGAATTGTGCTAATTTACTACAAAGTTACGCAAAGCAGCATCTACTATCTAAAATATGTACTGCGTGACTCTTAATACGTCCCTGCCGAATGTTACAGCGTTCGATGATCACGTGGTCTTGTTTATGTCCGGTCTATCTCTTATCTGAATATACTGTAGGTCTTTTGCCGCCTGTACTCTGTCAAGTTTATGATTATCCAGTATATAATCATATAGTATGATAGACTGTAGCATCACAATGTAAATCAGTATTCGGAAAATATGGGGCAAAGCACTGTATAGATTTACGTTCATTCTGTTGCTGGTTGGAGTGATGATGTGTTGCCAACATTCATGTTTGGGACTTTACAGCAACCCGTAGAACCATTATAATCCCGCATCAACCACAGAAGCCGCGGTGAAATAACATCAGCATATCAGACCCGGAGTTGCCCTTATTTTCAAGCTGGAGTAGGAAAATCAACAAACTTGCCTTTGATCTCGATGCAATGCTTTGCTTCTGGTTAAGGTCTTATATATTGGTATCTCTTAGGTTTTGTTGCTCAGATACCAGACACAGTCATGGGGAGAAAGAAGGGAAGAAGAAATAAAGGCTGAGAGCAAAAAAGAGGAAATGCGTTGGTTGCATTCATGCAAAAAAGGTCACGTAAACATCAATTAGAGTATAACTACCTTTTGTTCTTTTGAGAGGTCATAGCGATTAGTGGAAGCTTTCAGTCAGCGGAAACGTTTCCTGAAAGCTAAACAATTTTTGTTTAACAAGGAAGTGATCTCATGGACCATACCTGCATTTTGTCACGCTTCTTGGTTTTGTGCAATTTTAAAAGATGCTGTTTTTGTTAGGATATCTTGAGAGATATTTATTTTTCACATATGCATATGCATATGCATTAACAGAGGTAGTAGTACCGATATAGAGACGATGCCAGGCAATTAAGCTACTTTTGGCCATTTGTGGTGGTTCCGTATCGATCAACAGTAAAATCTACACGACTTCTTTCTTTCCAATGTTTTGATCGATTTTATTCGACTTCCTGAGGAAGATCGGCGCGATGGGGCTACTTTCACTCTGATGAGCGATAGATGTCTACTGTCTATAAAATTCGTTTTATCTTTATGAAATAGCTAGGATATCAAATATCTATTGCCATTACTGACTACTAGCAGTCATTAACGTATTCTACCTGAAAAAATATCCGAGATGAAATCAGGTACTAGGGCGTCATCTAGGATAATTTACCAAGTATATGTTTTTCCACTCCGCAATAATTAAAAAATCTACTTCTGGTTAATCATAGATAGCGCTATACCCAACTATATGCTCAAACGAGGTCTGTAATTAAGTAATGAGGCTGGAAACGTAGCGTTCGATCTGGCAACACTGGAGGCTCTGGGCTTGGTGGGGAGACAGAGGAACAAGTGTTCCGCCTTCAGTACAAGTTTGAAATAGCTCGAGTCATTTGGTTGTCCGTTGCAATTTTTTTGTGAAACAGTTTTTTCTATTGTGTTTTAAAAACGAGTGACATAAATTTTCAGCAACAGTGTGCTATCACTTTGTTTCATATTTGGGCGCAGTGCAACAAAAACTCTTGCTAAACTTTAGCAGATCTACGGAGATAATGTTTTATTGAATGCCCAGGTTTTTTGGTGGTTTAAGGCATTTTGAGAAGGGAAAGAGTCGATTGAAGATGAGCCAGGAAGCGGAAGGCCTTCGTCGTCAAGAACCGATGAAAATATCGACAGAATCCGGTATCATGTGCGTTCAGATCGTCGGTTGACAGAATGATCGGAGAAGAATTAAATTTGACTCACACCACCATTCATTAGATTTTGACCAGTGGATTGTGAATGAGAAAAATCTGCGCAAAGAAGGTTCGAAAAAACCTTTCGCAATACCAAAAGGGCATCAGGAAGGAAAGGTACATCGACTTTTTGGATTCGATTGAAAATGATCCCCATTTTATGGAACGTGTTATTACTGGTGATGAGTCTTGGATGTTTGAGTGGTACACTTCAACCTCTCCAAGGCCCCAAAAAGCAATAAAGATGAATTAGAAGAGCTTCTACATCAAGGCCAAACGGTCAATCAACACTTTTCAAAAACGTTAAAGGGTCATTCATCAAGAACAACTGGCTGTTTTATCACGATAATGCTCACACAGCAATGGCCATGAACGAGCTTTTGGCCAGTAGAAACGTTCCAGTAGCTCTTCAGCCACCTTATTCGCCTAACTTGAGTACTCGTGACTTCTTTCTCTTCCCGAAGTTGAAAAAATCACTTCGAACAGTCGAAAACATTCAAACGGCTGTAACCGACCAGCTGAAGGCTATTCCAGTATCGGAGATCCAGTACTGCCATGAGGAGTGGAAGAACCGTGTCCAGCGCTGACGGCCCTCAAAAGAAAGTTGTTTCTCCTCCATTGTTTCATTACTCAATTTACATGCCTCTTTTTTGTGGACCTGCGTTACTTTTCTTCCTCTTTATGGCAGGTCAAGCACTGGTGGAGTATTACCGTCATCCACCAGTCTCACCTCTGATAAAATATATAATAGTTTGAAAATTCATGAACATATTATTAGGCTGTGAATGGATGCATTCACACACTTATTTGATAATCATGAAAAGCTATCAGGAAAAGCCTCCAAAGGGGGCTGGGCAGTAAAAATCATGTACCATGGGAAAGCTCCAGTAAGTATCGCGGTGTCATTTTGGACAAAGATAATTTGGAGAGTTAAAAACTAAATTCCAAATTATGTTCTGGCAGCTCTACCCATTATTATGTACACGTTAAGAATTGAATTTGATGAGCAAGATTTGGCTCTATAAAATGGTCATAAAATGAACAATAACTTAGGTTGTGCGAATTTTGCAGGTTTGGCAAAGCAGGACTTTGCGCACCATTCATCAGTGATTTTAACAATGCATAATTGCTTCCTGTTATAAAAGATTTTCTTCGTTCTCTTTGCAGTCCTACTTCTTTTTTCTTCTCTTCTTCCTCTTTTCCCTTAAAATTGTATAGTTTCTAAACATGAAAAACTTACGAACTGACAATATGACATAAAATTTATATTCCTACAAATAACCAACGAGATTTGACTTGAGGCAAAAGAACCGCGTCCATTTCTTATTGGTAATTACACTCGCGCGTCTTCAAGACGTAACCTCCAGTAGAAATCAAAGATAGCTCTCATTTTGTAGGCCACATCTTTCTATCTACTGCACCATTTGCCACTTGATTTGAATTTGAAATGTTCCTGTCATATTCCTGGATACGTGCCTGTCTGGTACATTTCCGCGTACACACGTATGTGTTTGTTGTCCATTATCTACAACTGTGGCATTTAAATGTATCGTCACTTTGTGCCTGAATGGGATGTGACTTCTCCACGTTGCTATTCAGACACTACGAAGCCGGTGCGGTAATAATGAGGCACCGAAATGGGTCATGCGACAAGCAAATGGAACCTGGGACATGGAACAGTCGAGCTTCTGCCAGAGATTCTACGCGAGATACAAAAATGGTGTCGTAAAGGAATACTGGGGTCGAATGGAATATTCGAGGCGTTCTTGAATATCGTATTAAGATACCTTTGAAGATTATCGCCTACAGATTATATACAGTTTGATGCGAAAAATGCAATAAGCAAAGTGATATTATTTTAAATCCAATACCGTAGCCGCCGCAATATACCGATTCATTATTACTATTACCTTAAGAGTTTTAAGATGGATGGCAGGTGTGGACTCTAGGCACAGTTGTACGGGCTTGTTCAAAAAATACTGTAAACTCACGTTGCCCTCATTATTTATTTTCGAGATGGCCATATACACCTTCTCAAACCAACATAATTTTATGTTAAATAAGCACATCCACGGAGTCAGTACAAGACAAAGCGCCCATTTACACATACCTCTCGCCAAATATAATTTTGCAAGAAAGTCGTCAAATGTGTTACGACCTAGAATTTACAATAAACTTCCCCAAAAAATTAAATTAAGTCAGTCTATCACCTCCTTTAAGAAACGTTTAAAGAACTATTTAGTTGATAAATGTCATTATGCCAACAGTGATTTTATTAGCTTGAAGTATTTATTTTCACAAATCCAATACGTGTCAGGTGGATAATAAATATTACTATTATTACTTCTTGTCCTGTTTAAGCATTAGGAATATTTATTTTGTATGCATTTTAGAGTCTAAAAAGTGATCTGAGTTGCTATAGCATCTGAAACTTATCCTGTGGTTGTTTATATATTTGTAATACCCCATGGTTGTCTGGCCAATATAATCACATGTATTGACAGATCTTCTTCTTACTGCTGAAAACGGATCAACCACAAAGGTTGTTTATATCAGTACAATGACAATATTGTGTTGTAATATGTGATTGAAACGTTTACGACAGTAATGTCAATGCATGAAGTTTTATTGGCCAGACAAGTATTTTTTCCGAGTTGCATTCTGTTAGCACTAAATTATCATTTGTCAGAAGTTAACTTTTCCTATTTAGGTTTTTAATTCATCTCCATTGCTTAAAACAATATTCCCAAACTCTGGCCATTGTTACGGCAACAATTAGAATTTCGAATAGTAGATGAAAGGTGGTTTTGCCACGGCATTGAGGTTTAACAAATGAACAAAAGCTTGCATCACGTGAGTGTGATTAATGCTATGATTACATTTGATTTGATTTCCATGGGAAAATTATAATGCATTCGTCTAAAGTCTTGTATGTCATATACATGTTACCACACAGCTACATCAAAAATATACCAAGTGGTGTGTTAAAAAATAGTTAAACAATATAGATCAAAAAATCTATTTATTCCTTTTTTGTTGCAGATTTTGTAATGTCATCGATGAGTGTACCAGGAACCTTTTGGAGGATGTCCTCCATTACAGAAGCAGCTAGGCCACCATGGCGCTGCTAATGCGACGTCTATTCGTAGACGCTCAGGTGAGCTTAGGCAATAACTAGAACATTTTTAAGCTATATGACGAGAAATCTTCTATTACCGCAGCCATGTCTATAGTCCCTCTAAGTAATGGCAGAGGTTGCCCTCAAACACGCAACTACTTCTAGTACATGTAAATTGGTGATGTCCTATTCCTGCATACTCAACTAGAATGAACTATCTCAAGGTGCACGCTCATTCGGAAAAGGGAAGCGAAGAGAAGGGGAGCGAAACTCATCTGCTTGATTCCGATATAAATAATCAATCGTTAGCCACGCACTGGAGCGAGTGAAATTTGCGGGTGATGCGGGCAAATCAACATGTACCATGCCACGGACACGGGCAATATTTTTCTAGTCCGGCTATGCTTTGAAAATTTTTCGAAAATGAGATATTGTGTTTTTATGATGTTATATGACATGTACATCACGAAAAACCGTGTCACTTATTTCCGTAGGTCTGTCTGTTTGAAAATTTCACACTATGTTACTGCTATGCCATGGACGCAAAAGCTTTGTAGTTTTTCAGAATCCGTCCAGTGCCGGCAGAGAAAAAGGCCTAAAATAAAAAAAATGAAAAATATTTTGAAGGTAAAAAAACTTGGGAGTGGAGGAGGGGGGGGGCCGTTTATCTTAGTTTTTTGATGCTGGTACATCTAAACGCTTCCAATATTATTTTATTATTATACATATGTGACACATCACAGAGTGTACATTAGCCTTGTTTTCGGGAGGCGGATCGCGTAGGGGAGACTAGGGACGCATGAAACAAGTTATAGGGAGCACTGAGACATTGTAAGCTTTGAGAAACGTAATTGTTGAAGAAATGAAAATTAAGAATATCTACAACGCAAGAAGTTTATTAATTATTAATCAACAACGACTGTCGATTATTGAAAAAAAAATAATGACAGTAATAAAGAAAGTCAACGAACATTTTAATAATAATGGAAGTCCAGACTAAATGTCATAGTAGATTTAACTCTTTCTATTCCACCTACATTTTTGGAAACGGTAATTTCAAAATAATATCTTGTTCTTGACCTGAAGAAATATCCACTGGTGGATAAACAAATTTCCAGGTGGTTCCGCGACGACGTACAAATTTTGCCTCGTATTCATCATCTTCCTGTGATAATAGGTACCAGACCTCATAATGCATAGTTGAAGTCTTTTTGTGAAAAACTTAACCAAAACGAAGTCTCCCACTTGGAGGGTCTTGACATCCTCAAGAGCTTCAATCTGAAGCATTTCTCTTTCGTTGGTTTCAACATCTGAAATATCTTCGCTGCTTCCGCCCAACTCGCTTTGTTCCTCTTCATCACTTGAAGAAGTCTGTGGTGGAGTTGCCGGTTCCTGTAAAGATTTTCGTTTGTTTGTTTTTGATAAAAGATCGTCATGCTTCAGCGGAACAACTTTTTTATCTTCCGAGCAGTTGCTTCAGACTGTATTGCTTCTTTTTCTGGTGTGTCGATAAGAATTCTTGAAGAACCACATTTCTGGACTAACAAAATTTTGCTTAGTGTTTAAATCGCGATCTTGCACGTGGGCTTTTGACATTGAGGCTTCTTGAATATTTGCTGCATCTTATAAAATTGTACTCCAAAATTATTTCTCAATCAGCATTTTTTCATTGTTTATAACTATATTAGTAATTCATTGAATCAGATGTTTAACAGAAATTTTAGATTGGATAATTTTATAAACCGGTACATAGGGAGGCATGAGACGTCTCATGTATCCCCAAAACAACTGTCTCATGTCTGCCTATATAGCATTTTATAAAATAATCTAACAAAAATTCTTATTAAAGTTCTATTCCATGGGATAACTATATTAATAATTCACAACATACCTGAGGTCACAATGCCTAAACAATCAACTCAAATTTTCACTTTAACCTGCTGCAAACTACAACGATATCACAAAATTGAAATTTAGTTTTGGCAGCCATTTTGCACCTGTAGTAATAACAATGTTCTACTAATTATTCTTGCCGGTTCGCTAGCCAAGCGGTGAGAGATTTGACTAAGTTATTAACCAGGAACCAACGGATGGTTCTGCATACCCGATTTTAGGAAATAAATGTAGTGACTCATTCCTCCCTTATCTCCCTAGTCGCGCTGACCGTGGTGACTGTTCTTTCATGGAATCGCTTGAATTTCGGCGCTTGCAACAGCATAGTGTTTTCTATGCCTTGGTCGTACTACCACGCTCACAGGGCCACCTCTGCCCAAGTTAGGTATCGGGGAGGGGCGACATTTCCTGATGCACTACCGGGGCTCTAGTTTATGCTGAACATGGCCATTTATGTACTGATAATGGTGTTGCGCGAGAAATGCACAGTCAACCTATGTGACGCTATTTTTATGTATTACTATCAAATAATGTCGTCCTTCTAATGAGAAATTCTAACCAGATATGTATCTACACATTGCAGACAGTATTGCCAAGAAATAGTCGAGATATAGCCGATATATCTGAGACATATAGCCAGGCCACAGACTTTGTACGTTTAGAAGCTCCATTAAAAACACCATCGGAGTGGAGTAGAGTGGTAGTCCAGTGATAACACTAGGATCAGACTACAACAACAAACGGAGGAAATAGCTGTTATCTCTATTTGACACGGAGTCAAAGTATGCATGCTCACGTATGAATGTGTTCCCACCCCTTTATCTACCCCTTTGAAATTGGGCAATTATTCAGCCAAAATATGCAGGCCGGAGCTGCTGTAAAGGGGAAGCCGCAATTTAAAAAAATGTGATAAAAATGATAGAGCAGGAGAGGAGGTCTGATACATACAAACAAGTGACCAAATGGCTTCTCGGCAAGCTAACCCTATCGCACTTCCTTTTTTCTACTTGTAAGGGAGGGTTAAGTTAGTTCCAAGGCTTATCACAGAACCTGCATTCACGGCGGAGCCAATCAAAAAGCAAATTGAAAAACATGAATTATTCTTCAAATAGTATGTTCTACCTATACCGCCCTTGAGATTTAAAATTCGTAAAGATATAAAATAGTAAGCATTTCCTATGGATGATGCACAATGTATCTACCTCATTACTTACTGTTTTTTTTTCTCAAAATAAGATATTTTTATTCCAATAGAAATTCATATTTTTCAAACTTTATATTGTAAGTCACTTTTTATAGCAAACAGCATAATAGTCCTTCCATTTACCATTCGGAATAATGAAAGCGTTCCATGCAAAGGGCACCGGCGACGTCTCCAAACAGCCTCTGGATATTTGCATTTTCTACAAGGCCGTTAAACTCGTCGACACTCTTTTTCACAGCAGTTGAGCTAGATTAATTATTAGAATTATTTACTGTTATGTAGTTCAATATATCTCAAATGTCAGCAGACTTTCATCTTGATTATACGAGGAGCTCAGAAAGTTGAAAGTTTCCTTTTCAGAAACAACTGCGGCTAAAATACAAAACAATTAGGTTGACTGTGCACCTGGCACGCAACACCGTCATCAGATCATAAAGGATTATGTTCAGAACAAGTTAAACTTTCTGGGAAAAAGTTTAACTACGAACATGTATAACAGAGAAATTAAACAGATAAAGTCGGTCAACAGGCTCATATAATTGCTAGCCTAATCCTTTTGCTGGAAAGTATGTCTATTCTTACAAAGACCAAACGCCGTGTAATTAAAATTAAGACACTTAGAACTTATATTGCCACGAATGTGATTTGGGGGTTGTTTTGGCTCCTGTTAGAGCGCTGCAAAGAGTTGATAAACGAGTAGCTCTGAAATCCGAATTCGTAACAGACTTTGAATAATACAGGTCAACTAATTTTTATGCAGCATGCTTCAAATTCGACCCTCGCCATTGGGATTTCGGAAACTGTAAGAGATATGAAGTCCCTTAAATGCCGCTTAGAAAGTTTCGAAATTCCAAGTACTTCTGAAGAGAGACGGAAAAATAACGAATTTTCCCAAAATCGTTTTAATTTTTTCCTGACTTTATTTGTAGTGGGCTTTCAAAATAAATTCCACATTAATATTGTCACTTTTTCTCCTCTGCAAGATGGCATAATTAGAATTTCATTATGATGTTATGTCTCTTGTCTTCCAGCATCAACTTTATTTTTTCTTATGGATGCCATATTGGATTTTTACGCAAATAGACAGAGTTTTCAATTCTGATTTCAAAAATGTATAATATGTCATACATTGACATTGCCAAACCTCAGTTATTCCAACAAAATAGAAACTCCTAGGTAAGCCTTGAATTATCAGATTTCATTTATTTCGTGTATCAGACCGAACCTCAAATTGAACATAGCAATAGAGTTTGGAAGACTGAGAAGAAGAGAAATAGATCGATGAACAATGTCCAGAGAAAAATTAGGCTCTGATTTCAGAATAGCGAGCAACATTTTGAACATCTGCTATAGTTTACCTCTGCTTATTTATGATTATTATTAATCCTATCATCAATAAAATTGTCATTTTGAGTTCAAGTTTCACCCCACCTTTTTATATCCTTAAACATTTTCATCCAACAACAAATTCATGGCCAACGAAGAAAATGCATCACTGAGTTCAAGAATGAAAAGTCCATTTAAATGTGCAAAATTCCAATATAGCGTCCACATGAAAAAACAAAGTTGGTCATGGAAGTCGAAAGAAGGAATGACGAATTGAAAATTTTACTACGTCATCTTGTAGAGGAGAATAAGTTACAATGTCAACATGCAATTTGTTCTGAAATACCATCTCAAATAAGGTCAGGAAAAAATAAAAGTGATTTTAAAAGAAATGTGATGTAGGAGACAAAAGACTGTCTGATAATTCCAAAGGCTACCCAGGAAATTCTGCTTTTTTGAAATGACCTCAGATTTGGCCATGTCAATGTGAGAAGTATGATAGATTTCTGGACTGGGAATTTAAAACTCTATCCATCTGTGTAAAAATCTAATATGGCGTCCATAAGAAAAAATAAAGTTGATGCTGGAGGACAAGGAACAAAAACGTCAAATTGAAATTCTAATCATGCTATTAACTTGTAGAGGAGTAAAAGTGGCACTCTTAATGTGCAATTAATTTTTAAAACCCACTACAAGTTCAGGACAATATCAAAACGAGTTTTGAAACTTTCTTTGCCCTCATTTAAGCGACTTCATATTCCAATGGTGAGGGTCGAATTTGAAACCCTGTACATCCCCACTTTGGCTATGAAAAATACACTATTTCGGAATGCACACTCGCGACAATGTTTGTACACACTGTTCATGTTATTTTATTGCATATTGAAAATGACATTTTGTTTCAGGCAAAGCTGCGCAGAATGGTAGAAGAACATTCTCTCGATCTAGCCTCTCGGATCGACTCCGATTACCCCAGCACCTCCCCTGGCGGCCCTTTTGGTCCTTTCTCCACCGGCGGAACCGGCTCAACGGCCAGTCCGGAAAGCGACGTGAAGTTAGCGGACGGCAACTTCACTCCGGCGGTACTACCGGAACCACCCGCACAACCTCCACAGCCTCCTATAATTTTCTCTGATTCTTCAATTACTGTCGGAGGCGGCAAGGAAGCGGCAGTAGGCGCCGTTCAAGACACCAAACTCAACGATTGTGATGTAGATTTTAAGTAAGTGGGGCATGTTATTGAAGTTATGTAGTTAGAAAAGTACCAAATTGGAAGAGAGTAACATCTTATTGTAAGCCACTGTTATCGCTGTGTGTCAAAGGCATGTACGTGTGCGTCGTGCGCGGATCTTACTCACATAAAGTATATTCACTGAATGAAAGCAGTTACGTCACAATGTCAAATAATGACAGTGACGCACATGGTTGCCACATTAATTAAAACTACTAGAACAAACAAAAAGAACGTAAAACCACAAGTCAACAACAGCCGTTGGCGTAATTATTATACCTGACAAGCTTTGCGACAATGTCACAACACAGACAACTGTTACCATCATAAATGTACTCGGGAAATTCAAACTATACGTACCAATTTAGGATCTATTTTGCATTAAGGTTGTCATTCAAATTTACTAAATATGACGTAACTGCTTTGTTGAATGGACTATACACATAGTGAAGCGCCTAGATCAGTAGCGTACGATCCGATACTCTACTCTCCTTCAATTAGGTATGTTTTTATTCCGACGAAGTCTAAGCCTAAGTACCGGGGCACCGCGGCTGCTATAAGGAGCTTAAAGACAACTTGTTAATCCGATTTTTGAGCTGCATAAGGTTAGTACAACTGGGATAAGCCTCCTCGGGTAAATTGTTCCACAATCTGGGCAACCTAGGGACAACGGAGCGGTCATACCGGCCAGTTCTGCATGGTCGAACATCGACACGTTTAGGATAGGAGGGCGAACTCAGGCGGGTCTATGTGACAGGCTCATCGCGCGGCGGTATCATGGAGGAGAGTCCGTCGGTGCAAAAGGATCTCGAGACTGTTACAGAAGAGTAATCGATCAGTAGGACAGTCCTTCTTTAAACACCGAGCATGAACAATGCAGTCCGGGCTGCAACACCCTAAAGATGCGAGAGGCTAGCTATTATCTGGGCATTGTACTTGACTATAAGTGGTATGATTTTTAACAATTTTCAAAATGCATCCATGAGACCCGCCTTTTTATGACTCGGGGTTCAAATAGAAGAGTACCAAGCCACATGGAATTAGTTGCTAATGAGAAAGTTGCCTATAGCCTTGCACGATCTGCTGCTTCCCGATGGATGTCAGGTGGGTATTAAAAGGGGGATCAAGTTGTTGAACTCTAGACTGGCCATTGATTATCAAGAACTCACTGACAGAAAATAAGGTTCAGTATGTCAAGCCCCCTGTGCAGGAAGAGCGGATAGCCGAAAAAAAACTACAAAACATATCTCCGATTGTCCTGTTCCAAATGACCAGAAGATTCATTAATAACTTGTCTTGTAAATGGGGTGTACAAAATGTCTACTCGTGTTACTCGCATAGCAAAACATTTACGAGTACATATACTCATACTGAAATTTTGCTGTTCCAATCTGAAACATAATTATTTTTAGTGTCTTATAAAGTTTTGAATGTATCGCAGCGGCTGAAAAATGTAGCTTTATTTAGTTTGCATGGTGCTCTGGTAAGGTAAAATAAAAAAGTTAATGGTAATGCCGTAAGCGAAAACTCTGTTAAAATATCTGCTCATTTAATTTTAATTACTAGATATTTTATTTCATTTCATGCACTGCTGAATTTTTATCTGCTCCGGTTAGAAAGAAAGCATAATCATTATATTTATAGACCCTGAGATATCATCAAATAGTTTACTGTGCTATTCAGTTCCCATTTACGTTCACTGTTATGACTTTATTGTTACAAATATCAACCTAATTTAGTTTATTACAGTGTGATTTATTTCATTTGTACCTACAGGTCAGCTCTGATACTTTGATGGCATGCGCGAATGAAAGATTAAATTATCTGATATCTCGAGATACTTTCAAATGATCCTTGACGAACTCACGCGTTGATATTGTAGGATGAAGAAGGAAAACTATCAATTACGATCGGGCAGGAAGTTAGCCACACCAATCTGGAAAGTCCCCTGAGGCCATCAGCAGTTTGGATGCCATAGCTGTTTTTGCTAGTTTTTGTAGTATCACTCTGACTACACCCTCGACGCAGTTCAAAGGAGGGCTGTCCGGTTCGTCAATGTCACTTCTCTCACGGACGGTCCCGGACCAGCGAGCTCTCCTCCATGATGCCGCCGTGCGATGAGCCTGCCCGACGGACCCGCTCAGCATCCCATTGAATGTCAAGCTTCGTATATCCAGAACTGGCTATTACTACTGCTCCTTTGTTTCTAGAGTGTCGAGATTATGGGACAATTTGCCTGAGAAAGTCTTTTTGTTTTACTAACCAGGCAGCTCAAAAATCAAATTAAAAAGGAATCTTTAAGCTCGTGGCCACATCAATAGGTACATCAATAAAGGCTCCAGTCCGCTTTCTGATGTTATAATCCACAGCGCCCGATACTAATCTAGCTATGATGCTCAAGATACTCCAGAAGCTTCTTAATGATGGACTACCGCATTAGTTTGCTTAGAGAGCTTATAACCTGGTGTCCAATTATTGATGCGTAGGTCATATCGGCACCTTCTTCAAAATTACTTATGATGCAGTTTATCCTCGTATTTTCCAATGTACCGAATTCAAATACATTTTTCCTTATGACACACCACTGAAGCAACATCTTTACATAGACGTAAAACAATCTATTTCAGTTATTAATAATGCAACCTTGTCTAAAGACTGTTCAACCCTCATTTACTTTGCGTTAAATCGAACATAAGCAATCCATCGGTACCCCATTATATACTGGATTAGTTATTTTTTATTTCTGGTGTGCCAAGTCAATTTACTACCCCATTTTAATTAAAACACTTTATCTAGATTTCTTTGTTTCAGTGTATTACTTAGAGACAACTCTAGTCGTGTGACCAGCAACTACAAGCCGAATCGGCACGACTCTATAGAGTCGAAGAAAAGCAAATCTTTGTCAGTGGATCTGAACGAAACTGACAGTGGATCAAAGAAAGACGTGAAGAAAACTAAGTCGGATCCATCCGCGCAAAGGTTGGGTTCTGACGATACCAAAGAGGAGGGCAAGGAGAGTAACGGAATGACGGTACAGGACGAAGCGAGTCCTTTAAAGGACAGTCGTTCGTCCCTGGAGACCAGATCCGATTCGCCGAAGCCTGGTTGTAGCAGCCAACCAGATCTAGGTGAGAATCTTCTTCCGAAAAATATTCACTTAACAGCCAGTAAAGTATGGAAATAAATCGAGCTAACAAATAATAAGTTTTAAAAATGTTCCTGTTATATTCTTCTTATCACAGGATATCCAAATGTTGTAATGAGCTCATTGCAAAAAGTTGTGGTTATCCGATAGTATAATGATTTCTTTGGGTAGTTAGGTAGTTTATATTGTTTTTATTTGAAGAATGCATACAATTTCAGAGATTGAATAACATGTATTATGGGAACTAGAAATTTCCAGACTCGTATTTACATATACTTTATTTCATATTTTTACCTACTGATTCCGTCCTGAATTTTTCTGACAGCGTTTTTCAACCCCCTATATAAGGGAAATCCTACACCTTGATGCAAAACACAATGGCAGAAAGTCGGTCCAGAAATAATACCAAAAGTTCATTTAAACATAAGTCCCCAATGTTTCCTTATCCTGATACAGAGTGTGGAAGGTTGAGGTTATGATTTAGATATCTTGAAAACTTATATATCCGGAGAGAAACAAGGACCGATTTAAGATTTTGTATAATATGTTATACTAACAGCATAAGCAATACAATAGCTCCAGCTACACCAGTGGAAATTAAGAAATATTAACCTCTGTAGAAGGGAGACCCAAAATATTTTCTACGCCACAATTTTTTTTAGATTTAAAGGTCTTTCATGATAAATTTCTGTTAGACCATTTTTTCTGGGAAAATTTGGTTTAAATGCTGGCTATATGCTCCGTATGGAAAGTTTAAATCCGTTATTGTTGTCTGTAATAACAAATTATATGTATTAGTAGTCCCATCCCATCACAGCGTTATTTGAAAAAGATTTATGCTTTGTATTTAACGAATAAATTGAGATACCGTAGCGTATATGAGAATTTGTCACAACTGTTTCTCTGCATGCTTGTATATGTTCAAGCAGATAGCGCCATCTATGAGACGTTAACTTTTGAAAGTATAGTAAATAGAGAAATAGACAAATTCTCATATATGACGAAACGCTTCGGTATCTCATTTATCTTCAGATAGAATAAGTTAATCAATGATTATACCTATGAATAGAACTACGTAAAAATACGATGTTTATAGTATTGCAAATCTTCATGAGTAATGGACTATGAACTTTCCGCTCTACAATATTGTCACTGCTTCTTGAACCACCCTGTATATCGCATGCATGCAATGACCCTGTTCTGCAAGACTGTTGGATATAGCAAAACTGTAAAGTGTCTATTTCAATTATTCCAGATTCGTCTTCCCCCCGATCCCCCCGCAGTTCAGACGGTGCAACTCGATGCGCCGATGACCTATCAGCCCTTCTCCCTTCCCCGCTGGGCAGCAAAGGCGGTGTATCAGGGGCAGCCGGAGGGGCAGTGCGACGTCTTCGGGCCGAGAATGAAAGATTGCAGGCGGAAGTGACCAGGTTGAGAAGGCTGGTGGTCAGTGGAGCTAGCAATGTTTTGGCTGACAGGAACCTCCTGTGGAAGGGGAGACCGCTCCTGCAGGAGATACAGATGCATACAGGTTGGAGAGGGAACTGCAGTTAGCCAAGGAGGCTTTGATCAGTAAGTATCGGATTTGACTGGATTAGGTTGTTGACTCTGTCTTTGGTTAATGATGTATGCCACTGCTAACAAATCTATTGCAGTCGTCCAGCAATTCCAATCACAGCATGGTGTCCAGCCCTTGCCCTTGCCCACCTCCCACTTAAATATACGAAGGCCATTTTTTAATAACAACCATTTAGTAATGGAGTCAGAGGTAATTTGTATCACAACCTGCAATATCAATTCATGGCACGAGATTTTGGATCCCGTCGTCAAAGAACCCAGCCGCTTGACCGTTAAGCCAATTAGTAACTACCTCTCTCAACATGTCATCATTTTCCAAGCACTTTCCACCAAGAAACTCCTGAAGTTCTGAAAAAAGATGTAAGTCTGATGATGCTAAGGTGGACGATCCAGTATTCTCAAGAAAACTGCGTCTGTGTTCGTGCGAAGCCGAGCGTTGTCATGATGCAGAATGATGAGCATGCCTCACTGGCTGTTTTGAACACCGCGCCTAAGCTTCAATCAACTTAAGCATTTTTTCGTTTAAAAACGGAATTACTGAACGCACTTCACAGTCCGCGGGCTTACACAGCGACATGGCGACAAACAAAGTAGTATAACCACGCAACTAACACTAACATAGGCCATGAAACGTAATGGCGGCGTAGAGAAGACTGGCCAAGAGTGGCTGAGGTTTTACGATCGTCACGTGACAGGATGCGCGAATTCGAAGCGCTATCGTTCTGACTTTAAACATGCTCCTCGGAGAACAGAATTTTGCAGGAGGCTTTTCTGTTCAGAGTTATGGTGATAAGGTTTGAAACCACTGGCCTTTTCAGTGGCAAATAAGATGAGCAAATATTTTCTCATACTCGTTGTAGAGCCTGAATACAGTTTTGTGATACTCTCATGAGTCATTTGTATCGGTTTAACCCACATTACACCGTTTTATGAATAGTGACGTCTGTTGCACATAGGCAGCAGCGGTGGCCGCAGTAGTAGACTCTTCGGTCTCCTGATCAGTCGCCGTGCGCTGTGCGGGTTCGAGTTCCGTCCGAGGAGACATTTTTCTCTTGGCTATGGATGTTGTGATTGTCCGTAGGTGGTAGACGGTCTCTGACTGTCGAACGCGGAGGTACCACCCGGCGGATCTCGTAGGCGAAGTCAGAATGTGTGCATGTTGCATGCACACGTGTTCCCTCGCCAGAGTCCGTGTGGCGTTCCCCCTTTCCCATGTATCCCCCTATAGCCCCACGGTACCCATGGGTGCTTAGGCCTTAGGCTTTCGTGGTAGTTGGAGTATAAAAAAAATTGAGATAAGGCAAAAGCTTCGCAGAGAAATATATTTGCTGATTGGCGAATTCTTTTAAATACCCCTTGGCCATTTCTTATTGAATAATATAAAGCTATTTTCATTATATGGTTGTGGTTTTATGGAAGTTTCTAACAGAAACAAACGGAGATTCTTGGATGTTCCTTATCCAAATTTATCAGTTTGCAACAACTCCAGGGATGGAAAATCGGATATAATGGGTGTTTAGGTCTTCGTGGTAGTTCGAGTATAAAAAAAGCCTGCTTCATCCTTGATTGGCTGGCCCACTATTTCAGTCCATTCCTAAATAAACAGATTGTTACACGATTGCTTACAGGAGAGCTCCTTAGACGTGTCTTCTTGAGCTCTCGAGTGAGTTATTCCAGCGGTTCATTGCATGTACAGCCTTTGGGTATGGACGCGGAGCTAACTACACACCTGGAACAAAAAAGCACCGCTCAGATGTTATTTACATTTTCTTGGACATTCATGGGTCTCTTCAGAAATCCTGGGATCTGAAATTTCTTTGGAACTCGTCGGATCTCTGTGAATGACCACCAGCTAAAGTTTTACTGAAAACCAGTATAATTTGCTAATTCCATTGATTTTTCATGAGCTATTATGGCAAATATAGATACGGCATCGAATTTCCTTGGATTGCTTCGGATTTCTTTAGAATGATCTCGTCACAACCCATGAGAAAAAGATCTCCAGGACCTCATATAAGAGTATCCCAACGGATACGAATAGATTAGGAGCAACCAACCCTATATGTTTGCATTGTATTGTTTGTCGCCAAAATTGCATAGTTTTAGTGCATACTTTTAACTCATTTGACTACCATTGCCTGCCAAAGTGACAACATTGTACTAACGTAACAATAACACTTACCTACCGGTGAAAAGATCTACCTTCATTAGGGTTGTGCCGCTCTTTGCAAATTATGCAAAAAGTACCATGTCATGTAATCGTCTGACACAGCAATTATCTGCAAACGCTGGCAGTTTTAAAAAATAACACTAAAAATACGAATTTAATGACAGAGCTGTCAAAAAATACAAATACAAACAAAACGAGGCTTACTCTTTTTACCTAGTTTGAATGCGTAGTGGTATCCAGATCATACATACAAATTAAAATATATTTCGACAAATAAATACATTTTATATATGTAGATCTATTCACATGCATACGGCCGACCAACAAAAACTATTCAGAAAAGATCAGGGTCCATGAGTGAAGTTTCCGACCCTGAAAATAACTCAAATCTGAAGGTGATCGCATCTATAAAATGTTACATTAAAATCTTTTAAAACATATATATCTCACACTTTCATGAACATTTTTTTATTTTATAACTTGCTTGTTTTTTAAAGCTCAAATCACTACGCACACACAGACAATTGAAAACAAACCTTGAAGTCTTATTATAATTGTGTAGTGTTTTGTTTTTATTGTGAACGCAGTGGTGCGCCACTTTCATTTTTACTTCCCACTCCTACTGGCGGAGAAGTACTATAATAATCGCGAAATGCGAAATTTTTCGAAAATGGGATATTAGGAATGTTTTTTGGATGTCTGTCTTCCCGTCTGTCGGTCTGTCCGCCACTCTTATAACCACCTATAATAACTTGAGAAGTACCGCTCGGATGACGATGAAATTTTTGCACAATATTACTTACTACTATGTCAAGGGCGCGAAATTGCTGTAGTTTTTGAAAATCCAGTGACGGCGAAGAAAAAGGCCAAAAACAAAAGAAAAATATCTCTAAACTTTGACGTTTCAGACGATCCTGATCATTTTCGGAAACATTTTTGTAGGGCTAAAAGATTGGGGATTAGGGGTTGCAGGGGATGGAGGTGAATATATCTCAATTATCTCAATTTTTTACATTTATATGCCTCCAATCCCAGTAATTCTATCCACATATTAGGCATATTTCACTAATCATAGATGTCTCCGTACATTTACTCTCGACATAATCCTTAGTCGCCTTTTTTATGTATGTGTTGTGTCTTAACGTGTTTTATTATAGATTTAAAGTAGAAATTGCTTTGACCATGCACCCAAATAAAAATTCTAGGTTACAGGTACAAAAATAAAATTAATAATGTTGATAAATGCTTAAAAAATAGAAATATACGTTATATAAACATGTGAATGCAAAAATTTCATGGATGCCGTCATCTTGAAATTTGGAGTACGTTTAGGCCCGAAAACCCCGCTTATGGACTCTGATCCTTTCAATGACAAGTGCCACAAAATCCCAAGTTTTTCAGCAATAAGTTCCATACTATTACTTTCATCGTCACTATAATCTTTGTCATCCAGTTTTTCACACAATAATGCGAAGAACACTATCAATTTCAAAGAATTCCTGCCACTCTAGCTGTTATAGGGTTAATCACCTCCGAACCAGTGATTAGCTCAATCCATTCATGTTTGTAACGAGGCTCCTTCCCATCAGATAATATCCTGCACTTATGGGGGTAATTCTATCCTTTGTACACTCTAATTACGCTTTACAATATTTGCCAAAGTAACTTTGAATGCCATCGCGTGCAGCAACAGTCCCGCCTTACCAGATCTAAAGGCCATAACAGATGAGGAAGTCACAATTCACAACAATAATAATAATGATTGCATCTATCGAGCAATGTTGTCTACATATCAAATAAGCATAGATACTTGTTTTATTTGCTTTGCCCGAATATAACAGCAAAAAACCGAAACTGGAAATTAGTAGTAGGTTTACAATGATTTCATTTACTTGCTACGATTTTGGCGAGTTTTCAGTTGGGAAACATTTGTCTGCTTGATTATTGCTACATAGGTATTATATAAATAAACGACAAATCACTACAAAGTCTCTTTATCTTAGTAAAAATTGTCCTTTAATAATTTTATACATCTCAAATGCTTGAGAATAAATTATCAATATACTACAACATAGCATAATCCTGTTTAAAAGTAATATTTCATAATGTCCGAGGTCTATAAGAAAGATTCACCACCCGTTTTCCTGGTGATGCAAACGCCGATTGAAAAAAGTCTACATGGTTTGAATGAAGCGACCAAACAACTTCAAATAAAATCAGCCCCTATATTTACTCGACTTCCATTTCGCAGAAATCTTATAATGAAATTGGTTTTACAGCGCTGAAAGCAGACAAAAGACGGTTAAAGGCGGAAAAGTTCGACCTACTGAACCAGATGAAGCAGCTGTATTTGACGCTGGAAGATAAAGAAAAGGAATTGAGGGAATTCATAAGGAACTATGGTCAGGTAAAGATTTTTGATTTCAATAACACTATTTCCACGCTCTATACTAAACAACGCAAATATTTTATGTAGAACGTTTTTCCTCAGGCCGAGCGAAATCTTAGATACAGGGCGTAGATTAAAATTTTAAATTAACTACTCAACGAGCAACATCCAAATTAATCTTATGTTACCTGAGTACCCTGCGTGTCAACTTTCTGTCGGCCTCACTGTCCTTGTATAAGCATAGATTGTTATGCACTGACTATGTTGTTATGGCAGCTCACATATTTATCAGACAAAGCCATTTTGGACTGTTCTCAAAATTTGCTCGTGAACAGTCTTACCAAAACTTTCTACAGAGCAAGCCTAAACTTCTCACTCATTATATGATGATTTATGGTTCGCGACTGTAGATATGGAAAACTTTATAGGCGATTTTGATATCCCGAGAAACCCTGACAACATTCGAAAAGAGTACATAGGTATCGTTTCCTTAAGCCCTGTCCCACGACCTTTTCTTTGACTGTACACTTTTAAAGTTGCTTATCATCCTGGTTAAACCATATAACTATCGAATCTTAGAGACTACTACACCACAGGTTCACTAGCTCACAAGGCGATTTGCAGTGTGAACAAGATTAAATCGTACACTTTCAGGTCCAAATTTGACAACAAACACAATTTCACAACAACAAACACCAAAATTAATTGCCTAGGTATATCATTTTGAAATTACTGAGTCCTAGTTAACATTGGCAAGGCACCTTTCCAACCAAATCACTTCCGCCTCTTTGTTCTCCCTCTCCCTTCCATTCTTTGATCTCTCCTTCTTTCTCCCTCCTTTCTCCCTGAGTTTGTCTGATATCTAGATAACCAGATTTGGCCTACAAGACTTCAGAACAAAAGTGTCGAACAGAGCCCTTTGTCAAGCAACGATAAATAGAAATCTCGTAAGCAAGGTCCGCTAGTTCATAAAATGTATGAGCTGCAGGTAAAATTCGGCAATAAAAGCTCTAAGAAAACTGCCATCTCTTCAAGTTTGCCAATAACTTATAATGTTACGTGAGTAATAAATCCCGCATCTAACTTTGTTTACTACCAATATAATCTAGTTAAAGTTCCAGATTTATCTCAGAAATATGATGAAGGAAGTTTATTATTGGAAATTTGATATTCTGGTGACCTGGAATTAAAAGAAAGTTACAGTGTAGTGCGATGGACGACACAGAGAAACCTTGCAAGTGTAAAACAAAAAATACATACTTCTATATTCCATAGGTATCATATTTCTACTGTCTTGAGTTTACTTTATTCTACAACTGAGATACAAACTCTTTCACGCACTTCGCTGCCGAGCTTAGGATATCGAAATATTGTCCAATAGAATCTGGTTACCATTAATCTGTCGTTTTCGCCTTAGGCGACGATAGTTTCACCAACATTATACACGACCAAGCAAGGACCAATGATATTATTGGCTTAAAATCTGCACTAAACAACTTTTTATGGATGTTTGCCAGTTGATTCTTGAAATCAGGAACCAGAATGACTGTGACAGCATGAGCGTGGTTCTCTTACCTTTCATTAAACTTTAATCCTGGCCATTGAACTAAGAGCCGCTTTAAAGGCGAAGTTAACTGTTCATGAAACTGTTATTGCATGAAGAACCCAGGTACATATTTATGATTTTACCTAAGATGGGTGTATTAACAAATTGTTTGACAAAGCAAGAGAACCACGCCCACTTTCTCTCAGTTATTTTACCCCTCTTTTTCAAGATATTTGCCTTCAAAGTTGGCGAAACTCAAGCTATAGTTCAAATTCAGTTAAATACCTGCAACAGAGCAATTCTAAATGGAAAGAAGGAATACCGTTTACAGCTACAAAACCCTTAGAATCATAAAATGGCACTGGATATACTTCATTGTTTTTCTTCTGTCCCCTACTAAATAAAACTAAATCTCCTAAGTACTGTACAGCATCATAGAAAAAACACATCTTCTATCATCCGTGACACTTTGTTGACAATTTAGAAGGGTTTATCCAGGAATAAGGTCCCCAAAGAGCTTCACACATACGGGAAGGTTCGAGGCGACATGCGGCGACACCGCTGCGCGCGGTTGTTCAACCTCTCTCGATTCATCCGGCCATGCTTCGCTGCACCGCTCATTCCTGGCTCAGCAGCCGTCCGATGTGGATGTTCTCATTCTTGATTCTGGCGAATGCGACATTCGTTCCGTAATTCGCACGTCAAAGGGTCTCCATGTGTAGATATTCATCTTCTGTTGACAGAGGTGTATGTCCGATCATCGCCCCCAACACTGACGGTCCTCCACCCCGAGGACTTCCTACTGTCACTAAACGCCCTGCTCGATATTCGGACGTGTTGTACAGACATACACATGTCGCCATATACATCTGTCAACTGACATTGCATGTCCACGGGTGGGGGGGTATCTTTGACGTGCAAAATACAAAATTAGAATTACGGAAGGAATGTCGCATTTGCCAGAATCAACAATAAGAGCATCCACATCGGACGGCTGCTGAGCCAAGTTTGAGCGGCGCGGCCAAGCATGTCCGGGGGAATAGAGAGTGGCGAACAACTGCGCATAACGCTGCTGCCCGATTTCTCCATGCAAATTCCCGTGAGGCTGCAACTCTTTAGGAACGTTATTTCTGGATCAACCCTCGTACAAACTCAAGTCTTGCTTTTAATAATAAAAATTTAATAGCCAGCCGAAGTAAAACCCATTTGATATATGTCCTAGGTAAAATAAAAAGCTATATATCCCACTGACTGAAGTATTATAGCTACCGCTGAAGATAAATAAGAAAAATGGGAAAGAGAAACGGTTTTACCCTACTACTGAATAATTCCAAAGTAATTCAAAAAATTAATGTTCTTGCAACTCTTCAACGGTATCTTTCTTACCGGAAACAGTGACATAGATGGATGCGGTTTACTTGGATGTTATAAGAGGAAAAAGAGTTTTGTAGTGATGTATTACAGCCATTATATAATTAGAGGTTACAGGCCAAATTTTCCAGGTGTTTATGATGTTCTAAGCTACCTCATAGTTTAGAAACGTGTATTTACTTCATACCATGAGAAAATTTGTCGAGTGTCTTGCAACCCTTGACCTATAATGACCTGATAATAGTACACCGAAGCGTTAAAAATTACGTCTAAATTACGTTCTCAATTACGTTTTCTGCCTAGCCTATCGAATAACTAATGGCACAGAATGAGTGGAGCTCACTACATAGTTAGAAAACACTTTTACTACCTACGTCAATTACGAGGAATTATTGTACTCGGAAAAAACCGAAAATGAGATATTATTTTTTTTGGATGTTACATGACGTGTGTCAGGGAATAGACCCATCCCCTACCCGAAGAGACCACTCCCGAATATAAATCAGAAAATTCTTGTTGCAAGGGCTCCTGTCAGATGCAATAACAGCCACCGCCGTTTCCGAGGCTCCTATTAATTAGAAATTACAGATACCGGTAGTATTACCCACCTGTTCGACATAATACCATACATATATCGGATAACATTTACGTCTGTGACACAAGCAACACTAGCTACTCAGAAACACGCGGTATTCTTTATCTGGGCAGGGTCCGATCTGAATTTAGCTGCTCCAGGCCGTAGCGTCATCGAGTTTGTCAACGACGCGCGACGATGTAATGATACCAGGGCATACGAAAGCTGCCCAAATATTATGCACCATAAAAAACCTTTTAAAATACTCCACTCTAAGCTTCACTCACAAGATCGTCCTAACATCATCCCCCCAATGCCTCACTGGTAAACTTGTTCCAAGGGCGTCTCTGCATAATCCTCAGGTTCATAGCCGTCACACCTTAATTATGTCAATACATCGCACAACACTTATCGGAAGATCTTTTACTCACAATGGAATTTTGTTACAACAGCTTATGCCAGGATCTGAAGAGTATCCAGAATTTCAGAGTACAGTTAAAAGGATATTTACAATAAATGCAGAACAATCGCGAGCTCAAGAAGCTCTTTTATTTTCATACTTTGTATTTTTGATCAGTTATTTTTCTGTTTCTTCATAAAATATTATCTCTTCTTCTTTTTATAGCTAAATTGGCATTACTTATTCCATTGTAGTGTGACTTAATCCTTCTATTTTCACATTTTTCTTCTTATGTATATCATAAAGACGATTATTATTATTAATCAGCACCGGTTAATTCAAGTCAACAAATTCAATTATATTAATTCTATAAAATCACTAGCTGGCGGATAGTAAAGATACCAGAACGTACGACAGTTGACTCAGATGGTGTTTTTACTAGTACTCCTACTCTCGCATGGTACAAAGTCAATGCAACTGCCGCCATTTTTGTATGCATTTACTTGCTATCCACTGACTGAATTTATATTTTGCGACAGTGTCCTTTGTATGAGTTACGTACACTTTCGAATTTTGCACAAAGCATTTTTCCCCATCGCACCAAAGCATGGAGCGTGAGTTAAAAATATTTTCCAGTAAATCAATTCCATAAAACGTAACAGGAAGAGTTTTGAGAGTGGAAAACCAATTGGCCCTTGGATTTTAATTTCCCCTTTGCAGAATGAATATCTCGAAAAGGCATGAAACGACGCGACGGGTTGATGCATAGTCTCGAACTCGGAACATTCATAAAGGCGAGCGAATAATGAAAGCAGTTGGAAAATTGGAGGAAGGTCAAAGGTCACAAACTTCGGAATATCGGAATGCAATCTATTGGTGCTAGTAAGCAACATGTATTGTCCACACTTTTATTTTAGTCCAAGAAGTGGACAGTTTTGTACATCATGGATTGCCAAATACCCATTATGACTATAGTTCTAAAATGATCTTATTATCAGTTACCTTAAGCATGAAAATTGTGATATCTGAGCTCTAAATAGTAATGTTATCACCAATGGTTTTGTTAGAATATATTATTAGAGAACCCTGAATTAAACTCCTCCCCTAAGTAGACGCCTGGTCTCATT